GTGTTTCTCAACCTTGGCAACTTGAAGATGTGTGGACTTCAACTCCCAGAATTTCCCAGCCAGCCTTGCCACACTTCTTCAAGCTGCCAAGGTTGAGAAACACTGAGGTTAGGCAGATGTTACTGGGAGAAATTGGCATTCAAAAACCCAGGCTCCAAACCATGAAGGACTTCAAAGATGGCAACCAGTATCTTGAACTGCACCCAGAAGCCAACTAGTAACCAGTGCAGCTTTCTGAATAGAGGTGCTATGTTGGCGCCTTGAGGTGTACCTATCACTACTTGCATCCTGTAGCTTGCAAACACTCTTCAAGGACAGCCCTATGTAGGCCACATTGCAACAATCCACTTGAGAGGTGCTACTAAGGCATGGCTGACAGTGAGTAATGCTTGCTGTTCCCAGAAAGGTTATAATTGGAACACAAGATGAAATTGGGTAAAGGCTCTCTTAGCCACAGCTGCCACCTGCTCTTTGAACAAAAGCTGAAAGTCCAAAAGGATCCCCAAATTGTGAACCAGCTTCACCTGGAGGAATGCTACCCATTCAGAGTCAACAATGGAATTTCACTGAAATCAACAGGCCTTTGAAACAGGCCACTCTATCTTGCCGGGTTTGCCTCAGCCTGTTCTTCTGCATCCAAACCTAGACAGTTTCTAAGCACCTCAGCAGCACTTTGACAAAATCACTTATTTTCCAGGGGTTAAGATGTACAGTTGGGTATCATCAGTATACTGATGAAACCTCACCCCATGCTGCTGACAACGATATATCCAGCAGTTTCATGTACATATTGGACCCTGTAGTACCTCCCCATATATCCAGCAGTTTCATGTACAGAGGACACCAGGAGGGTCACACTACAGTATACCTATCCTGATCCAACTAGAGATCATCAATAAGCATGATCAATGCTGTCTTCATACTGAAGCCAGGCCTGAAACCAGCCTGAAACGGCTCCAGATAGTTTGTTTTCTCCAGGGCCTTCTGCAGTTGCAGCCCAACCCCTTTCTCTACAACCTTCCCCCAGTATTTCTGAGTCAAGTGACGGCTTCCTGAGGAGGGGGCGCACAACTCCTCTTTCAAAGAAGAACGTAGCATTCCCTCTCCCAAGGATACATCTACCACCACTGTGACCCAGCTCCCCTTCACTTCCCTGAAGGATTTCACCAACCAAGAGGGTCAATGGTCTGGACTGCAAGTGACTGAGCTGATATTGCAGAGGACCTCGTCCACTTCTTCAGGATTCATAGGATTAAACTCATCCCTGTGAATGTAGCAAGACAGGCCACAGCCATCTCCTCTGGATCCCTCCAACTGGCTTCAGGCTTTGAATGAATCTGAGTTCACTCCAAAAAATCTTTGAATTCTTCCAAAGACCAACTTGGCTGCTGCATTTGATAATGTCAAGAGTCACTTCCTGGTGAGATGGGTGGTGTCTAAATTTGAAATATACATAAATAAATATAAATAAAATAATAACTGAAGTTTCCAGACCAGGAACACAAAGGGCATTGTGGGAGTTATTGCCGCATACAACACTCTGTTTTAAAGTCATTTTCTTCAAAGTAGGGGCATGGTCGGCACATCAAACATAGTTGACAAAAAGGTGCTCGATCTCAGAAGTCAAAGTCTTCAGAAGCATCCTCAAACTAAGTATTTCCTCCCTGTGGAAGAGCACAATACTGTCCACAAATTCAAATTACTCCTCATTCAACACAATATCTATTGCAAGAGGCATTCCCACCTACATAGCTAATTGTGGGAACCTGGCATAAGTTGGGGAAAAAGAATGCCCAGTTCTTTTCTTTGTCTCCCTCTCCAGCTCATTACATGCTAGATAGAATCTCATCCATAATTTCCCTGATTTCTTTGCTCTGGCCTGCTGGCATGCACTGCTAGAACCAACTGGGTACAAAACTTTCTCCATCCCTACCCTACAAATGGGTTGTATGTTGGAACCAAGTGGGTTTGAAATGTCTGCCACCCTTCTAAGTGTGTCATTGCCTGGGAAGTGTCAAGAAGGAAACAATAAATGTCATCTGGAATATCTTTTGCATACACAATAATGCTGGGCCAGTTGGTGTAAATGTGTGCATGTCTCTTACGAATCAGTCAGAAAGCAAAAATACCAATTGATAACTCCTTTTGCCTCTGTTTCCAAGAGCCAGGTTCCCCCTCCTCCCCCCATTCATAGAGAGTGTTTGTTCCAGCTGAAGCAAAGCGACATCCGATCTAGCAGGGTTAACAGGGAGTGTTTTGTAGAGAGCTGCTGTCACCAAGGAGAAGAGAAGAGAACTTCAAAGTGGAAACACAGCAAAACACTGATCAGGGCATGCTAGGAGATTCTCCTTTTTCTGGATCCTGCTCCCAAAGTTCTGAAAATCCCCTTATGTATTTAAAAGAGAAGGATATCTGAGGCTTGTGGTTTAAGAGGAAAGCAAGGGTTCAAGCATGTGGCCTCCTGAAGCAAAAGAGTTCTAGTGAAGGTTCTAAAGTAGCTGATAGCCAGAATGAAGACACCAAAATGGTGAGATGGATATAATCTTGAGAAGATCTCTCAGAAGATCATAGGGATCCAACCTATCTGGGTCTTTCCTGATTCTGTGAAATCCAGTGAAGGACAGGGGAGGGGGAGATAGGTATGTAAATCTTGTCTTTAAAAATATCAATGGTGTGGATTTTTAATGCTATAAATGGTTGGGCATATTTCTAGAGATGGGTTGAACAACAAGGAGAAAACGGAAACTCTAAAAACCATTCAGCAGATTACAGGCAGAAGCTCCACCAGGGATTCTGCCAGGAAGATGTCAGGGATTCAGGAAGCCAGTGCACGAAGCATCCGCCCCTACAAGACTAGTGAGCAATACTTGTATGCCATGAAGGAGGACTTGGCAGAATGGCTTAAGGAGCTCTATGATGTCGACATTGATGTGAGATCTTTTTTGGATGTCCTGGAGACAGGCATCCTTCTTTGTCATCATGCCAACAACATCACCCAGGTGGCCAGAGATCTCAACCAGGAATATCCGAGTTTGGGCAAAAAACTCCAACTTCCCATATATGGCGTAACCTGTAATGATTTTGCTCAGCCAGGCACATTCCAAGCTCGAGACAACGTGTCCAACTTTATTCAGTGGTGCCGAAAAGAGATGGATATTAAAGGTACACTGATCTGAATCAATATACTGTATAGTAAGAGAAAATTGCTAAAAGCAAATTGATTGAATGATTAAAATGTGAATTCTCTTTTGCTTTCCTTTCTTAACTTTCCTTTTTCATTCCTTGTGTTTTGACTTTTCTAGCTACTTATGTATCATCCATCCATCCAATTGTTAGCTATGTCTTTCTAGAACCCAAATTATTTTTTTTTAAACACTGCTTTGCATGATACTTTAAAAAAAGGTATATACACACTCATGCATATACCCACTCACACTATCTAAAAAGAAAAGAAAACCAGAAAATGATTGAATTCCTAGTGTTCCTCTGTCCTCAGATCTGTTCTGGAAATTTGGCCATACTCATTCTCAAATTAATGAAAAGAGAAATAATATTCTCACGGTCTAATTTGTTCCTTTGCCCCTCACCCCCATGATCCACTTCTGCTGTTCGCTCCCTGTTAAACTGGTTGTTACCATCAGAAAGAACAGCCTGCAAAGTTCAGGGTGACACCTGTGCATACTTTTAACCAGAAATTAACCGTTCTTAAACTGGGGTTATAATGTAAGTCTCCAAGAATGGAGTCTTTGGAAGTCAGTAAAGCACATAGTGTATTGGGAAGTAGAATCTAGCAGACCTGAAACACTATATTTTGAAGTGAGAAATGTTTACATGGTGTGGGATTTTCCCTTCTATTGTCTTTTATCTGTCTCTGCTTCCTCCGTTGCATTTTTCCCTCACAGAATAAAGAGGATGAAATGTTTTGTCTCCTTGCTCTCCTTTTAACTGATCGGGGTGGTATTTTTAATTTGTATTGTTTTAGTTTGAAATTGCTGGTTCCTTGTGTTTCTCAGCTACTTTATTCTGCTTTTTGTTTTTTGTTTTGGCAGACCTTTTTTAGTGTTTTTCATATGTTTGCATTTTCTGTAGTAAGTCCCTTTCAGGTAGATTTAAAACAGCCAGGCCAGTTGAGAATTGTGGGAGTTGCAGTCCTGATGGGGAAACAGAGGGGTCAAAAAAAGTCAAGAGGTCAGCCACTATCATGCAATTAAACCCTGTCTTCCCCTATGGGGAAGAATAATGGGAAAAGGGGGTCATTCCAAGGCAATCAAAGGCTGAATCCTAAAATCTTTCTCTTTCCATCCCTGAATAGGAAGGAAACTTGCCTTTTTTTGCAACTGCTCTTCTCCCATTTTCTTGCTGATTGGCATGAACTTGAAGAAGTTTAGGCTCTTCCGCCCTTTCCATTGGATGTGTCTCACTATTGCCACTGGATTTCTTGTTCAGGATTTAGAACAATTCATGGAGGACAATACAGCACCCAGCAGCTAATAGCCGTCATGGCTATGTGGAGCCTCCATGTTCAGAAGCTGTGAATAATACCAAATGGTTGGAAGCCACAACAAGAAAAGCCCCCTTTGTGGAGGCAAATAGATTCAACTAGAGTTATAAACGTAATCTTCCTTGGACCTTGTATCCATCCGATTATCTGGGCAGCCACTTCTATTATCCACAAAAGTGGGGAAATTGTGCTGCCTGGGAATGATGGGAGTTGTTATCCAATAAATATAGATAATAGCTGACAGGGGACAGCTATATTAGAGCTTAGAATAGGGTTTGATTTAATTAATTAATTTTATTTAGTTTAATTTCAGGGTGGTTGTTTCTTTTTTTAAAAAAAGGGGGGCTCCTATGCAGAGCAACACCTACATTACGCAGCCTGCTAGATGGGAGCCATAATGTGGATTTTGTCCGACCAAAGTTAATATGTAACTCAGAAGAGTGGCAAAAAGCCACATTCTTCTTCAGTAGAAGAATGACTTGCAGGCTGACGATTCAAATTATTATTTTTAGTTCTTCGCAAGCCTGAGTAGACTCCAAGAGCATTCCTTTGGGTACATCCTATATTTCCTTTCTTACCATACATTTAGAAAATTAATATTTCGCTAAAATCCAGTTGAAATGAAACCAAATGATTATAATATGATGAATATTTTGGGATTATGCTAAGAATCAATAGATTGGGACTGGATTCTAGAAATGCTTTCAGGGGCAGTAACATACTGAGAAAATTAACTAACCCCAAACTCTCTTTTATTTCGTGGCCCTGCCCACTTTGGGCCCTGGAGCCAGCTAAGAAATGGTGATCATCTTATTGGCCAGCGATGTCTCCTGGCTACTCTAGGAAGCAGGGAGAAGACTTAGAATCATAGTTAGGCTGTTTGGGAATGATCATCGCAGACCAGCTCTTTAGCTGTGCTTGTGCCACATATTAAAGAGTGGTGACTCAGAGGCTTATGGGCAGCCAGCAAATGTCTTAGCAAGTTGTGTGAACCATGTCACCATGTTAAGCCATAATGTGATCCACTTATTTGGGCATAGCATCCATATCTAGTACTTATGGGAACACAGAAATTGGGGTTGGTGAACTTGGGTTTAGGTTTTAGCACATTGTGTGAACCCAACCTTGCTTTCAATTCAAGGAAAGCTGCCCTAAATGGATTCACTGTTTCCACAGGTTTCTCCCAGACAGGGATATGTAGCTTTCAGGGCTATTTGACCACATTTAGCCTTTGAAGGATATGCTGGGGATCTGCCCTCTCCCTGTAAAAGGACCCAAAATGGGCAGGATCAGGACCAACATGATATACGTACATTTAATTTAAATTAATTAAATGTAATTAATAAAATGCACTTCCCTTAGAGTCAGTCATTTCCCCCTTTCCCTGCCATTAGAAATTGCAGTTGGGAATTTTGCAGTAGATCGGAGAAAGGCAACCTTAGGTTGCAGAGACTTGTTCTTTAACTCTAAACCTGGAAGCCCCAGAATTTGACTATCTGATTTGACAGCCATTAAATCTCTGCAGCCATTAAGCCTTGCTCCATGGCATTGGTGGGAGGCAGGACAAAGTGTAAGGCACCAGAGCAAATCCGTCTGGTCATTTTGTTTCCCACTCAGCTCTTCCTGGGTTACACCCCTTCTCCAAGGGCATCTTGTAGCAATTCCCCCACCTTCCTTCTCCTTGCCCCGTTCAGCCTCTCTGGTGTGTTTCAGATGTCCTGATGTTTGAGACAGAGGACCTGGTGTTGCGCAAGAACGAGAAGAACTTTGTCTTGTGCCTTCTGGAGGTAGCCCGGCGGGCTTCTCGCTTGGGCATGAGTGCGCCTATCCTCATCCAAATGGAGGAAGAGATTGAGGAAGAGATCCGTGAGGACATGAGCCTGCCCCCAGATGAAACGCTTCTTCCCCGGCCCAAGAGGGAACCTCCCAACTTCAAGAATCTGGACCAGCTGGTACGAGACTCTTTAAGAATGGCAAGACACAAATTATATGTGAAAGTCAGGATCTCTAAACTTAGGGCTAGCTCCAAAGGTTCAGGGACAGAAGGTTCATTAGATCCACTAACATTTTCTCCACACTGTCTCCAATGTCAACATCATTTTTTTTTCATCGTTTTTATCCATCAAAGTCCTCAACCTAGGAAACTGGAACATGTGGAGAAACCTAGCAATGATTCTTAGGATTATATTTGAACTGATTCGTTTCACTGCCTTGCATAAAATGCATGGATCCATCTGATCATTTCAAAAGAGTGAGGGCCAGTGACAGCTGCTCCCTATTAAAAAGGCCATGCGACACATGGCAGCAGCTAGATGCTTGACTGCTCCTTAAGCAGAGTCAGACCTGGTTGGTGAATGGGAGACCACTAGGAAATCCTAGGGCTGTAGTCTAGATTGGGAAGTCCAGCAATCATCCTGGAAGAAGGCAATGGCAAGCCACGTCCGTGCTGCGGCCAAGAAAACTCTTCAAATGTGCTCATGAAGTCACCAGGGCTTGAACTCAAAATCTCAAAGGAGATTTTATTTCATTTATTTATATTTCAAATTTGGTCACTGCCCATCTCACAAAGAAGTGACTCTGGGCGGTTTACAATAAAAACAACAAATAAATATTAATTAAAATACAATAA